ACACTGAAAAAAAAAACAAATAAACAAAAGACAAGGACAATATTTTAAAGGAGCCAAGAGTGGCAGGAGAGGACATGTTACATAAAGATAGAATTGACCATTCGGTTTTTATAAGAAACCACAGAGACCAAAGATGTCAGAACAATATATTTCAAGGTGTTAAAGCAAATAATTGTACAAGCCAGAATTCTTTCCCAGTGAATATATCCTTTCAAAGCAAGGTGAAATGATGACATTTTCTTTTAAATGAAAGATGAATTTGTCACAAAGAAACTACTATGGAGTAGACTGAAGTCATGTCTGTAATTTTTGGTTTTTTTTGAGTTAGGATCTCCCTGTAGCTCCAGCTGGCCTGAAACTCACTATGTAGACCAGGCTGGCCTCCATCTCACAGAGATCACCTGCCTCTGCCTCCTGAGTGCTGCAATTAAACGTGTGTGCCACCACACCCAGCCTGCAATTTTTTTTTTTTTTTTGAGACAGGATCTCACTAGGTAGCCCAGGGTAGCCTGAATTCGCAGTCCTTAGGCCTCAGCCTCCTTAGTCCTGGCATTACAAGCATGTACCACTGTGCCTGAGCATACCTGCAAATTCTTAACACTCCTTCTATCGGTAGGTGGTATTTAATCAATTTCTTCCCTTTTGTAAGTGGTGGCCTAATGCCTAGCTTCTAACACAGTCCAGAGAAGTACCTAGCTTCCAAGGCTAGGTCAGAAAAAGCACCAGCTTCCACTTGACTCCCTCAAGCCAAGTGATTTTGGATCCCTGACCCATCTTGTCAGAAGTCTACCTACCTAGAAGGCAGGATAGTGACATGATGCAAGGAAGCCAGGTAGAAACAGAGATGTTGAAAAGCCTTAGAGGGTCTACCTCTCAGCATGCTCAGGCTTCCCCACAGATGCTCCAGACATGTGAGTGAAAAGACTCTCAGTCAGCCTCAGTAGCCCTGGTTACCAGCTCCATGTTGTGAGCAGAGAGAAGACCATTGGCAAAGAACTGAAGTCTCCAGTCAACATCAATGTGGCAATTGAAAATGTCTCCCAAATTATCTGCATCCTAATCCCTGGGAACCTGCAAATTTGACTTTATGGGTGAAGAGGGCTACAGATATGATTGAGTTGCTCAGATGTGATTAAGTATCTAGAGACAGGAAAATTATATTACCAGAAAGGGTACTAAGTACAGTCACACATGTTCTCAAGAGGGTTGCAGTGTGAGGTTTAACATACACAGACTAAAACAGCAAACCCAAATGCCTTTCAGCAGAATCAAAGGTAGGCATATTGTAGTATACCCACACCATAGAAATGTACTTAACAGGGAGTACTACTCACTTAATGACATGGGTGAATCTCAAGTGACAGGGGCCAGACACAGAAGGGTACATTCTGTGTAGGCTGGCTTGGGCACATGATGTTCAAGAACCAGATAGACCAGTAGGTGAACATGAAGGAATCTTCTGGAATGATAAAAATGTTCTATATTCCAGTTGGGTTATTGATTGCATGGTATGGACATTTGTCTGAAGTCATCAAATTATAGGTTGATAAATTTCACTGTATGTAAACTTTGCCTCCATTAATAAAAACCCCAACCATCCATTCGATTCTGCAGATGTAAATTCTGAAAACAAGACCCTAGTTGTTCTTCCCATGGTCATGACCTTTACAATCGCCTACGAACCTGCCCAGCCCTATCCTTAAGTGTTCTCCACAGATTCCTCTGTGAGAAGCCAGGGTCATCTGGGGAAGGAGCCAGAGCCCAGAGGACTATGATTTTCTCTTTTTTTTCTTTCCTTTTACTACATTAAAAAGTATTTATGTATATGTATGTGTGTGTGTGTGTGTGTGTGTGTGTGTGTGTGGAGGCCAGGAGGACAACTTGGACTTGGTTCTTTTCTTCCATCATATGGCTCTCAGGGTTGGAACTCAGATCATCAGGCTTAGTGGCAAGTGCCTTTATCTGCTGAGCCATCTCTCTGAGTTCTCTCCCCACCCGCCCGACTGAGCCACATTCCTCAGTATGTTTTCTTCATATTTTAAAATTTATTTTTGGTACTTATCACCATTACAGTTTAGTGAATAATTTCATAACAATTTGTTAATGCCTGTCCTTCTGGTAAATATACAAACTCCTTAAGGCAGAGGCTTGCTTTGTAGTCTAAGATACTCTTCGGTGTTTAGCACAATATCTGAATATTCTCCAATAAATGACTTTAAATAAACGAATGTATTATAAAAACAGAGAAAAACATCAGTGATACCAAAGCAAGATGATAAAAGGAAGCAGCCTATACACATGATGGGGGGCAGAGGGTGGGGTGGGGCAGTAGGAGTGGAAAAAAACTGCAGAACTGGAAGGCCCTGAGTATTCCTGATGCTCTGGGCACCCTGCGGTGACATTCCTTTCTGGTTTCTCCTCAGCTAGCACACCCTGAGAAGGGGGGCTCATTGAGAACAGCTTTGCTTGCTTGGCTCACTGCAGCCTCCAGTGACTGCCTGCCATCCCAGGCTCTTAGACAAGTCCTCTCCACATGGATTTTTGTCAGTCAGAGCTAGAGAACAACAGGCAACTCAGGGTGATGTGGGTAGTTCAGAGCAAGCCGTCCATCCCTGCACCAAGCAGGCCCTACCGTGCCCATCTGCTGTCCCCTTCCTCCTGCTACCTCATGTCCAGACCCTATTGACCACTGCCAGATCCACCACCTCCTTTGAGCTGCTCTGGCACCTGCTGGACTCCCTGTCCTCCCCCTCTTCCTCCACAAGTTAGCCAGGCCCCAGCCTGCCAGTCTAATTGCTACCTGGAATTTCTCCACAACCACACTGCCCCTGCCTACCACTTTGTGACCCACAACCTTTCAAACCTAGGTCTAGCTGTCCCTTTCTCAGGTTCCTTTCATGACTTGCCTCCATTATGGGCTTCTGGACAGGGGGACTTGACAGGACCAAGATCTAGGCCCCAGTCATGCTCAGTAGAGCCCTGGATAGGTGATGTGGTCTACAGTCTACAGCCTCAGTCTCAAAAGGCACAGGCATCCCTCTTGCTCCCCAATACCCATTCTTCTACCTCCAGCCACCCCCTCTGTAACACAAGGGAGGGAATGGGAGGCAAGAAATTCTCAGGTTGTAGGAAAACCTGCTTCCCCAAGAGCAGCCGTCCCTGGCTACAGGTGAGGGTCTCTGACAGGCTGGAGTTGGAGTTGTGGCAGGAGTTGCCTGAAAGAGAGAAGGAGGGAGCAGCCAGGCAACAGCTGTGGCAGCTCCCTGACTTTAGAGCCATGTACAACAAGCATTTGATGGACTTTCCTTGCAGCTACTCTGCAAGGCTGCCAGGGCACATTAGCTGCCCACTGACAGATGGGGAAACCAAGGCCCAGAGAAGATGTATCTTGCTTTGAGTCACAGGGTAAGTCAGGAACAGAGCTAGATAAGAAGCCACATCCTGAGCTTTGTAGCCTGCTGCTAAGGCAGCGCCCAGGGATTGTTCTGGGGTGGCTGTGCTTGTGCTACGTGACCCTGGAGCTCTGGAGGAATCTTCAAACATGGTCAAGGTCAAGGCCTTTTATCTTCCTTTGCATAGAGGGAGAGGTTAAGTCTCATAGAGGTTCAACAACTTACCCAAAGTCATGCAGCAAGAAAGTGGTAGCTGACACTCCAACCCTGGGGTTTTAGCCCTTGTGTTTTCCTATGGAGCCCTGAGCCTATTTGCTCTTCCACAATGGAGTTCTCCTCTGCCCTGGCTGGGCCTGGCCCCCAGGTTTGGCTACTTCAGTGTTATTAGCAAAGTAGGCCCAGGACTTAGGAGTTCAGGTGCACAGCCTCCATTTTAGTGACCACGCCCTGCTCACTATAGACCTGAGACATGGACTTCAGAAAACACTGGGACTACTGACCTGACTTATCCCCTCACTTGGTAGGATGGGGGGACCCTGAGAAGCAGCAGACTTTGTTTTTCATTTTCAAGGACTGAATTTTTAAGGCATCTACAAGCATTACCTGGGAGAGGGTGGCAGCCTCTGGTCTCTTAGCCCATGAATGACAGTGTCCAGAGCAGACCCACAGCCTATTCCTTAGGAAGAAGTCAAGTCCACCCTCCTCCACAGGCCAGGCCTCTCTATGCTGAGGGTGCACATTTAGGGCCATGGCTGGTCTCTTGCTCTTGGAGAGAGGCCATTGCTTCTGGGTGGACAGCAGCCCACCTTGGCCTGATGGGGCATGTTAACATGTCCTCCTGTCTACTCTGCCTGTCTTTTCACATAACCCTCATAAGGACAGTGGCCATATTCTTGTAGCTCAATACTGTCAGTTTTTCCCCATTACTACCAAGGGCTCAGACCCTGGCACTTAGCCTTAAACTGTATACACTCCAGACACCCAGGGCACTGTTCGTCTTCCACTGTTCCCATGTTCTCCTGCCTGCCACTCTTCCCTCTGACTGCCCAGGCCCTCCAGACCACCATGGGCCTACTCAGCATCTCAGACAGACGAAAGAGACGTCTCTCTCTCCTCTCCTAGACTGTGACCTTCCGGGGGGGAGGGGTCACAGACCCTCAGATGTCTGAGTCCAGGAGTCCTTCTTATCAGAGGCTACTGTGCTCATGCATAGACTTGTCAAGGTGATGCAGCAAGCTGGAGCTGGAAACTTGGGCTCCCCCACTGAACTCATCTGTCATTGACCCCATATGCCATGTGCCACTTGCTACCCCAGGGAGACAGGGGAGCATTCTTGCATTAATTGAAAATTTCTTTCTTTATATTGGTGCTTCCTGGGATGTAATTCATTCCTCATTTAAATCTCTTATGGCCATCAGAGGAGCAGACACACTGAATCTTACTCCAAAGGACAAATGTTCCCATCCAGTGCTGTTCCACCTCAGAGATCATCCAGGTAAAGAAACCGAGGCTCAGAAAGATAAACAGCTTGCCTCAGGTCACACAGCAGAATGAAGTCTAGACCTTGGTCCCAGGCTCTGTGTGTAGAGAACTGACCCTCCAACTCACCTGGTTTGTAAGTTGTCCTGGGTGGTCCCCATGCTGGCACCCTGCTGGCTGTCTTGCAGGGGTTCTCTGCTGTCTGGCATGCTGGGGTCCCTGGGCAGGCCGCTGTATCCAGTTCCAGAACTTCGTGGCATCTGCTGCAGGCATCCACTGAAGAGAGTGCGCTCTCCCACAATGAGAGGTTGGCCTTGAGTGGGCAGTGGGGGTGGATATGGGGCTGGGGGAGGCGGTGCCTGGAGTGACCCAAAGGGCCCCATTTCCTCTCTATTTTTAGAAGCTCAGAATGTTTCCTGGGCAGTGAAGTTGCTCAGAACTAAAACTTCCTTTTCTTCCAGGTTTTGTGGCATTCAAGATGAGGAGAATTTCAATGAACCCAGTGTTCTTTTTGATGCAAATCAGTCCCTCTTCTCCCAGAAGTTCTGGCCAATGGGCTTAGGACTTCTAGGCCCCCAGAAAACCTCCTCACCTTCTTTAAAGGGCCACTTTGGAGTAAAAGGGGTTCTTAGTACAAATCCATACCCTGAGCCTAAGGTGTCTACAGGTCCTGATGCCCACGCTGCAGCCTCAGCTCCAACAGCTTGATTGCAACCCAGGAGAATTTGCCCCAGGCGTCTAGCTCCAGGGTCTGTACCGGAGCCCACAGGAGAGCCCACAGTTCCTGCTCTCAAGTAGTGGAGTATAAGGGCCAGAAAGCAACATTGCCAACACCATGGATGACTATATAATTCATAGTAACACCTGCACTGAAGAAGACATGACAGGGGACCCAAGGGGGCCACCCAGGGTCATCTAGACACAAGCATGATCTTCCCTTTCAGCTAAACAAAGGAAGGGTTCTAATGACTGGTTTGCAGACAGCCATGCACAGATGGAGGAAATGAACCAACTGGGGCAGGCACTTTGAACACCAGAGATCTCCTTTAAGGTGGACTGTGGCTGCCATAACAATGAACCAGGTGACTTCAAACAACGAAAAATGCATTCTCTCATAGTTCTGGGGTCCTGGGGTCCTGAAGCCTAAAATCAAAGTATGAGATGGGTCACACTCAGTCCAATCTCTGGAAGACTGCTTTCCTCTCTCCTAGTTTTGATGGGTCACTGGACTTCCGTGGTCTTCCTTGGCTTGTAGATGCAATGCCCGTCTCCCCCTCCCCTCCCATGGCTGTCCTCCCTCTGACTGTCTACATCTCTGTTTTCTTATAAGGTCACCGGGCATTAGACTAGGGCCCCTTATAATCACATATGACCTCATCTTAGCTAATTTCCCTTGCAAAAACTATATTTCCAAATAAGGGCATTCCCCAAAGCTCTGAGCAGGCATTAATTTGGGGGAGACAAAATTTAATTTGGTGAAAATGGTATACGGAAGTCTTGGCAGGAATTCCTGTTGCTACTGGAGAAATCAGGTTCCCCTCTTTTTGAATTTATTTTATGTGTATGACTGTTTTGTCTGCATTGTATATAAGTACACCCATGCATGCAATGCCTGCGGAGGCCAGAAGAGGGCGTTGGAGCCCCTCAAACTGCAGTCCCAGGTACTCTGCAAGAGCAGCCAGTGTTCTTAACCACTGAGCCATCTCTCCAGCCCCCAGGGTTCCCTTTTGTGATTGCTCATTAATAAAAGTCTCATTAATAAAAGAATTTAGAAGGCCAGGGGTGGTGGCACATGCTTTAATCCCAGCATTCAGGAGGCAGAGGCCAGCGGATCTCTGTGAGTTCTAGGCCAGTCAGGGCTACAAAGTTAGACCTTATCTCAATCTCAAAGCAAACAAACAAAACCAACAACAACAAAAAACCCACAAAAAAATTAAAGACAGACTTGGAAGGAAGCTTGTGAACAATTTTATTAGAATTTGAGAGAAAAGCAACAGGGCAGGTAAGGGGAAAATCCCAAACTGTGCTGGAGGAGGGAGATAGAAAGTCATGTTTAAGTCAGGCTTTGAGGTCAGAGAAGTAGCTAGGAAGCCCAATGTGTTATGAAAAACTATTTAAACTGAAAAACAGAAAAGGAAAAGAAAAGACATGCTGAGTAGCAGGCTGTGGATCTGGTTCAGAGGGTACCAGATTCTGGGCTCTTGAGTCCCAAGACAAAGAATTGGGATACATGGTTAGAAATAGAAAGAGATAGTTAATAAAGAAAGGGAGACTCCTGAGAACAGGAGTTAGCTAGTGAGCTGAGGAGGGGAAAAGTCCCCAAAGCCCTGGCCTATGAGGTGAATAGCCCTTTATAGGACATCTAAATAACACTATATTTTCATGTTTGTATGTGGCAGGCTTGTGTTTTGTTTTGTTTTGTTTTGTTTTGTTTTGTTGAGACAGGTTCTCACTATATAGCCCTGACTGGCCTGGAAATTATTATGTAGACCTGGCTGGCCTCAAACTCACAGAGAGATTTGCTTGCCTCTGCCTCCTCAAGTGCTGGAGTTAGAAGTGCGGGTCACTATGTCCAATTTCTGGAGGGCTTTTTTATGTGCATGTTCTGATCCTTTGGTGAAGCCCAAATGAGGAAGGGTGGCCAGCCTTTCTCTGCTAACTGGCTTCTTTCATGTGAATTTTGATGTAGCTTTCCATTTCTCTACTCTGGCCACCCTATGAGATGTCCCCAAGAGGGTCAGTGAGTCCCACTGAGTCACAGGTAACGGGAAGGCAGGTGGTTGAAAACCACTGGGTTGTTCTATAACAGTTCAGGGCATGGGCCACAGAGTCGCCCCTTCTCCCTCATGCTGCTCCCTCAGTTCTGTTGAGGGCACATTGGACAGGAGGCCTGGTGTATGGCTTTAAAGCCTGACTCTTGCTCCTCCTCCACTCAGGCCTTGGGTGGGTTCCTGCCTCTCTCTCTCCAGGCCTCAATTTAAACTATTTGGATCATGGAGGCTGGCCAAAATACTGCCAGCTCCAACTGGACAGGAGGAAGTAATGGGGAGAGCTTTGCCAGGGGCTCATTGGCTGTGCTGAGGCAACAGAGGGATGTCATGCAAGTGGTGTCAGTGTGCTCCCAACCATGGGAGAACTGAATCAGAGGGGAAAAAGAAAAAGACGAGGAATTATTGGCTTTGAAGTTCAAAAGACTTCAAGATGAAAGCAGGGGAAAGTTTGGAGAGATGAACTATAGGGGATGGGGGAAAGACCTGGGCACACCTGGAAAAGAAAGGCCTCCCCTTGGTCAGTGAGACCCAAGGGTAGTGGTGCCCAAGAAAGTGACAAGGCCCTAGAGTGTCCAGCAAAGGCCACAGAATACTCGGCACAATAAGGCCTGGACAGCCCTACCTCCCCGGAACAGGCACTGGCCAGGTCTCAGTCCCTGGAAGGAGAGAGTAGTTGAGCCAGCAATAGAGGCTGATGGGAACACAGATTCCCAGCAGTTACCTGGGGACCAACAGAAAGGATGCACCAGCAAGTAAGTGGTGGGACACAGTGAAAAAAATGCCAGGGAGCCAAAGAAGCTGGGTTGGCCGAGTTTGAAAATGGTTATCTAGTTTCCTCATCAAAGTAAATATGGCTACCACACTGGTATTCTGTTTGTCGGAGTCCCTCTCCTCTGACCGCTGGCTACCCTGACCTAGAGTCAACCCTTGGGAGCTTCTGCCCACTGAGTTCCTGGCCTCAGGCCTTTGGGTGAGTTAGGTCAATCCATGGTGGTGGCAGAAGGACAAAAGATGGCTAGGAAGAGAGGTTGGAATTTGTGAGTGTACATGCATGTGTGCGTGCCTGTGTGTGTAGGGGTGTGCTTGCAGGTCTGTGCGTTGAGTATAGGAGTGCAAGGAGGCCAGAGGACCTCTGGTGTCTTCTGAGTCTCTCTGTCTTATTCCCTTGAGACACGATTTCTTACAGAACCTAAAGCTCACCGACTCAGCAAGCCCCAGCAATCCTCTTGTTGCTGCCTGTCCCCCGACACCCCAGGGTTACATTCACATGTGGCCACACTAGGCTTTTTATATGGTGCTGGAGTCTGAACTCAGGTCCTCATGCTTGTGCAACAAGCACTCTTGCCCACTGAGGCATCTCAGCCCTGGGAAGTTGGAATTTTGATGCCGCTCTCTCCCTCCCTGTTGGCTACATTTTTGGCAGCAGCTAAGACCCTTGCCTTTAGCTACAGCTCAAATTGAGAGCTCCTCCCAACCTTCTGGCTCCCGAGTAGGAGACAGGACCCCTATGGTAGCTCCCAGCTCTCAGAGGTCTGCATCTGACAGTGGGGAACCACGGCAACAGTGAAGGTTTTACATTATTCAGACCTGAGCTCAACTCCTGGTTCTTCTGCTTGGTAGCTGAGTGACCTTGAACAAGGTGGTCCATCTCTCTGAGCCTGAACTTTGATTCTGTGATGGTGGGTTAGTAGAACTGTTTCATGATACTGTAGAGAGGACAGAACCAAATGGGAAAGGCATTCAGCACAGAGTCATTTGCAGGAAGGGGCTCTCTGAGGCACTGTGCGACCTCTCATGTGATCACCTGGTTTTCTACCCATGTCTCTGCTTCCCTCCTGACCATCAGTACCCTGGAGGTTTAACTTCCTTCTCCACCCTCACTTGAACACAGCTTTCATTTTTCTTTTGCTCAGATAGGTTTATTTTCTTGGTGTGTTGGGACTTGTTCCTGTCTGTTGGGAAACTTAGGCTTACTCTAGCCTGTGCTGACTGTTCTACATGTTTGAAACTATGGTGCTCTGTCTTTTCCTTCCTGGTGTAGTGTGTGTTCTTGTTAAGATATTAGGTGAGCTACATGTAAACTCTTACTAGAAAGAGACTAGTTATCTTTTAAATAACAAAAATATTCTTTAAAAAAGCACACAAAGAAGTAAAGAAAATGTTATAAATGTATTCTGGGCATTCATGTATACTCTGAAACTTTGAAACATTCAGTTTTTGTTTTTGTTTTGAGACAGGGTCTCCCGGTAGCCCCAGCTGTCCTGGAATTCACTGTGTAGACCAGGCTGGCCTTGAACTCACAGAGATCCACCTGCCTCTGTCTCCTGAGTGCTGGACTAAAAGCATGGGCTACCATACCCAGCTTGTTTTTGTTTTTTAAAATTAGTTTATGTTTTATGTGTATGAGTGTTTTGTCTGCCTGCATGTAAGTGCACTCATGTGTGAAATGCCCACAGAGGGTAGAAGAGGGCATTGGATCCCCCAGAACTGGAGCCATAGAAGGCTGTTGGGCATGTGGGTTCTAGGAACCTGGAGCCCCTGGAACAGCAGCCAGTGAGTTTAACCACTGCTCCATCCCTCTAGCCCTACACTCAGTTTTTGATCTGCACTCATTTTACGAAGACCAAAAGACAGTGCT